ATGACTTTAAAAAAATAATATAAAATAGTGTGCAACACCACTGAAGTTTTTTTTTTTTTTTTTTTTTAACTCTTTTCAACCAACGGCAGTCACTCTCCAAATAACTTCTGCTTAGCTTTCCGAGCTTCCCTCGGGTCCTCTTAATCAGCGGTCTCCACCCTTTTTTGCGCCACGGACCAGTTTATGCCCGACAATATTTTCACAGACGGCCTTTAAGGTGTCGCGGATAAATGAGGGAGGGGCTAATAATCGGCTCAGTCATTTTTAATGATCGTTGAAAGCCCAGATCGTAATCGTGATTAAAATTCGATTAATTGAGCAGCCCTACATTTGAGTGAGTTTTTCAAAACCCAACAATGACATAAGATTGCGTCAATGCAGTAGAAATATTATTATTAGAATGAATATTCTTTCATCATAGGTTTGTCTGAACATGAGTGGAGCACCTGGCTGAAACTGAATGAAATAGCAATATGGACTTTTGTTAGTCATTTAAGTCAAACTATTGCCACCATGCCTCCGTTTGTCTGTAGGTTGTTGAGAGGCTGAGGTTGTTTCACTTTAAGGATAGCCAGATTGAGATGCTTCATGGGCCGGTTCCATTTGATTATAGTCTTTACCTGAAGTCAAAGTCCTGTTTAAGTGTTAGTGCAAAAAGTTAAAGTACCCACTACACAGAATCCTACATGCTCACAGAAAAATCCCAATAGATTAGCAGTTTCTGAAATAAAGATAGAGACCAGCCTGTCTGCCTCAAACAACCATGCCACATTCACCTTTCCCCCCATTCTGACAGTTGGTTTGAACTTCAGCAGGTTGTCTTGATCATGTCCACATGCCTAATTGGACTGAGTTTCTGTGGTTCTGCTGAATCTCAAACAAACTGGCTTATTGGCAGTTGAACTGGTCTTCTTAGCAAAGTGGCAAGTGAGTGTACATCATTGGATCATCGGTATTGATTCATTAACATGCATATTATTTGCATACAAAATATTATGGAGCAAATGTAGAAATGGGCATACCATTGAAATACTTGAGAGTACAGGTACATTTCACCACTCTATTCATGCTCTCATCCAATGGTTTTGGGCATTGTAATATAAACAGGTTCCAGCTCAGTGGCATCGGGTAATTTACTTGCACACCTCAGAATGTATCTGTATACTAACTAAAAAATATTCAATATAAAAACACAATATAAAAAGTAAAATCTTTTTTTATAAATATATCAATGCAATAGAAACATTTCAAGCAGTTCTTCTGTAGTTTTGCTTCTTAGTAAAATTGAAGCATAAAAAAAAAAAAAAATCATGCAAGGACAAATTCCACTGAAAAAGTCTAAGCTATTATGCAAAACTATTTTTATTTACAAAACAAATGGCACAGTGCGACTGCACAGTAAATGCACATGCACACTCCAGACATGACAGGGGAGTTTGTTTCCATAAAATCATAAATCCCAATCAGACAGTGAAGGACATTTCAGGCAAGATTCACAACTAATATTCTAACAGAGGGAGCAAATATTGCTCAAGAGAAACCATTCATTCATTTTAAGGCCATTTTAGAGGTCAGGATGAGATTGAGACCAGCAGCAAGTCAATGCAAACCAATGTTACTAATTAGACTTAAACACAACTGGATACAAAGCTAGTCTTGAGCACTTCAAAAGCATGGAATCAAGTAGCATGACAGAGAAAGCGAGGGACGTAAACAGAGTAGAAAGAAAAAACACAAATTGAGGATTATTGACTTTTCACCATTGAAATGCCTCCATAAGAGCATGGGATCCCTCAAATTGCTGTAAAATCAATTTTCTGTTCATAGTTCTGTTTCTAGCCTAATGAGCAGGAACAAAGAGGAAAACGGAACCTTTTCACAAGCTTTCAAGCATTTACTTTGGAGGCATATATTCTTAAAAGCGAAATAATTTGTCAACATAAGATAGCCATAACATTTAAATATATAAGTGCGATGACTGTTCAGGAAATATCAATGTATTGAGTCTTTAAGAGCCTGAGAAACACTTTCCCTTAGCTGAATTTGTATCACTGATGCCCCAGTGCCTCACAGTTGCCAATTCTTCAAGTATTTGGCTTGTTACATGACTTGTTCTTACAGAATACAAACAAAATGAGAAAAATAAACAAAATGTAAACAGTGTGCGAAGTAGATATTAAATGGACATGGGAATAGTAGCAAAACAGTAAACATAAAACCATCAACCAGCCAGTTTACTGGCCACGATGGAAGTTTTTCTTTGAGGTAGGTCCTGAGGTGTTGGGATGTGTCCCCCTGTGATCTCAGTCTTCTCCGTTGGGGCGGATGGCAACTGTTTATTCTTCATTTTTGCCTTGGCCATGTTGTAGTCCCCAGAATCAAAATACTTTTGCTGTAAACAAGAATAAACAGAGTGAGATCTCTATAAGGCTGACATCTTTTAATTGTAGTAGCTAGCCAAAGTTAGGTGAGAAAACTCACCCCCTTCTGGAGTCTTTTCCTGAGAAATTCAGATCCCCCTGGCTTGCCTCCAAGGTTGGGATATCTGGCCTTCAGTTTGGCCTCCTCTGATTTTTCTGGGCTGATTACCTTGTCCTCCATTTCCTGTTGACAGAGTGCAATGTGTAAGGATAGTAAAACTTTCGACTTGCAATTCGGTTTTCCAGCCGTATGCATCAACGTGACAATAACGAAACTTCAATATGTTGTATACTGACAGCAGCACATACTATGGTCACAGATTACTTTGTTTGATTAGATACCGGCGCCGCCATGAGGTAAACTGCTGTTTGCACTAGCATTAAAGTTACTGTTAGCATGATGAGCTACTGTACAATTTTGCATGTACAGTGAAGAAACCTGTTTGCCAGACCCAAAACAGCACAATTTTACTCTACCAACAAACGCTAACAGAATATTAGCCAATTCAGCGACAGCATCGCTAAGGCTCTCAGTCAAGGTTAGCAGCTGGCTAACTAGCTTGGTGCTAGCCGCCAGCTAACCAAGCAGCACTGGCTAACTGGTGTTAATTTGATGTAATTTTCCATTTAGTGGTTACAGTTTACCTGCTGTTCCTCCGAAATTCTCGTTTCTTCAACTTCCTCGGACATGGTTGTGCTGTATTCCCGCTCTGTTCGCAAAACTGTAGTTATGGCCGAATAAGCTCCTCTTCGGGAAGATAAAAGGTAGCACTGTCAAAGCAGCGGGCGAGGACAGCAGCAGCCTGTCATGCAGCCTGTGTAGCAACAGGCCGGTGAATCGATGCTAGAGACGCAGATGAGCGGGACGATAGCGATCATAGAATCTGTAGGCGCTAATAACAAAGTTGTTTTTCTTCAGACTAATTCACGCGTAAAAAATATGATAGCGTTGTTGAAATTTGATTTTGCATTGTATATGGATTTTTTTAACCCGTCACTTTGTTCAGGTACACCTGTTAAATAAGAAACATAATAGTTTATTAACCCCAAAGGAAATTATGCAACGGATCACAAAAAATGGACAACAGATGACTGGAAAAATGTACTTGGTCTTGACTTCTGATGCAATATTCAGATGATAGGGCCAGAATCTGCCATAGTCCGCATGGAAGCATGGAGCCATCCTGCCTTGTGTCAACAGTTCAGGCTGGTGGTTTTGAAAAGTTGAGAACGATATTTTCTCTGCACACTTTGGGCCACTTAGTACAAACTGAGCATCATTTAACCCTTGTGTGGTGTTCGTATTTTTGTTACTCAGCCAGTGTTCATGGGTCTGGTGGACCCGCTAGAGTTTTGGCTTTCCAAATTAACACTATCAAACAATTTTATGTTAAATTACTCAACAGATGTTTACTTCATCCCAATTACAAGACATATGAACAGCAAACATGGTTAATTTTTTCCCTTTACCTTTGTTAGATCACATTTATGAATTAATGTGCTTCTCGTTTTTCTTTTATATAAAATGTTATAAATAAATCAGTTATAATCAAGTGGAGTGAGTGGAAAGACACAACACATTTACACGTGAAAAAATAATTAATTGTTTAATTTTTCTTTTGAAGAAAACTGAACACGGGTCTCACAGACCCGAACACCATACAAGGGTTAAATACCACAGCCTACTTCACTGCTGTTGCTGGCCATGTCCATCCCTTTACTACAGTGTACTCCCAGTGCACCCATCTTCTTAAGGCTACTTTAAACAAGATAGTGAACTATGTCACAAAGCTCAAATAATCTCAGACTGGTTTCTTGAACATGACAATGAGTTCAAATGACCCCACTTAGGACATCTCAATCCAATCAAACACATTTGGGGCGTGGTGGATCACATAATGGATATGCAGCCACTATGTGATGCCAATTTTGTCAATGCAGCCCAAAATCTGAGCAATGTTTCCAGCAGCTTGTTGAATCCACCTATGAATAATTGCATTTGTTTTAAAGATGTGAAGAGCTACATGCTCAAAATGACCATGTGAAGGATATCTGCTCTTCCTGGCATCATAAAGAGCCAAAAGTAGGACTTATATGTACTCTGACCTCATTATTTGAAACTTCCAACATGTTTATTAGGCACAGCCACCATTTTAACAGTATAATAATAACTGACCCTCACAATTTCTCTGTACAGACAAGTTGTGATTGAAAGACTGGCACAGGCCTATAGTTTTTTTCCTGCTGTATAACAGTTACTGCAGATAAGGATTAAATGTTTACATTGTACAATATATACAAGGGCAGCTAATCTCTTATGATGCTCATGCCAAATAACCTGCTGAAAAAAGTAACACGGTTTATGGTCTATTAGTCTTCCAAAATCGAATCTATTATTGGCAGCAACTTTAATATTCATTCATGTATTATTTGGTAAATGGTAAATGGCCTGTATTTATATAGCGCTTTACTAGTCCCTAAGGACCCCAAAGCACTTTACATATCCAGTCATCCACCCATTCAAACACACACTCACACACTGGTATTATGATCATCTCACAAAATAAAGAGCAGGAGAAATTCCAGAAAAGATGGTTTTTAATATATCGGCAATCTTAATATTTTCAGAACAACTGTAATACATTAGACTTTGCAACAGGGTTAAATCCATTTCTTCACTGCTCCAAATACCACACAGTGAAAACCAAAACAGAGCAACTGGGAAAACTGCAGTTAATGGCTGCTGCTTTGCACTAAGGCCTTTATGAAGTCAATACCTTCAAATCTTTCACAGCAATTTAAAGCCAAATGCTTTACTCAGCACAACAACTGCTATTTGCAAACTTAAATTTCCAAACAAATATACAATAAAGTTTTAGGAGAAAAAAAAAAACGTAAAAAAAAAAGGCAACAGAAGATTATTCATCCTCCTCCCGCATATCCACATCTTCTTGCAACTTCTGCACCATTTTGTCTTCCAACTGTTTGGCTTTTCCTGTAACAGATAGTGCAAACCATGCTGAAATTATCTTTATTAAATGGAAAAGTAACCAACAAATATGTATGATCAGTAACTGCATTTACAATGATTCTACTTGAAGAACCTCCATTCTGAAGAAAGGAAAAGCAAGAATAGTAATCTTATTTCTATTTTATGTGCAGACATTGGTTCATCATCTCTTTTATACCTAAAGAGTGCTGCACCATTGACCCTTACCCTGTTTTGTCTGATAAAGTCACACTTGGCTGTAAGACACTTGTACTAAAATCACTGTCACCAAATTCACTATATGCACAGTCATATGGATAACTTCATGAGTCTTTACCTGCATGTGGTGCTTTGATGAGGTGAATGTTTTTCTTGACTTCGCTGATGGCCTCTTCTTTCTCCAACTCTTTGCCCTTCTTTAATCTACAGAACAGAAATGGTTTAGGCAAGGCAAGTGCTTTTATCCCAACCGTTAAACATATTTCCCTAATTTGCAGAGATTTTAAAAGTATCACATTTAATATTCAATATTCAAAAATCTGAACAAAGTCTATTAAAGTATAAAAAAATAAATGCTCACCTGTTCATGATAAATCTTGCCTGTCGTTTATGTTTTATTTCGTTCACTTTCTTCATTGCTTCCACTGCAAAAGTTATCAGAACATAAACACATTGCTTAGAATGAGACAATAACCAGAGGTTTATATGAGTGTGTTCTTTCATGTATGTGACAATCAGAACATCTTATTATAGAGTGATACTTGAAAAACTAGCCCATGGATTTGTTACTGGTTGTCCTAACACCTCCCTGAAAGCTTTCAGCTGATCAAAGATGCTGCAGTCAGAGAAGGAACAGCTAATGAGACAGATCACATTTCTGCTAGATAAAATGTAAAAAATATATATATACCTATATACAATTTAAAGCCTTTCTACTCACAAAGCTCGATGATACCTTAAAGACCTTAGAGGATTATAATAATCCAATAAAAACTGTACACAGGCTTCAGCTATCAGGCTCTTCTTCTGCCAGGGTTGGGTTTTGCAGGTAGATGCCCCTCTTCCTCTTCAAACTTTTGTTGTTGATAAAGCTTAAAAGTAAGATTAGATCCTATGATCCTGAATAATTTCTGCCAACTATATTATCTATTTTCATGCATCTTTCATTCGTGTGTTTGTATGCTACCATTACCTTTGTTCCTAGTCTGTCTCACAGTTTGTGGTTTCCCTTCTGTTGCCTCTCTACGTACTTACATGTTATTCCTTTTCTTTCCCCTAACTGGGCCCCCGAGCTGGGTTCTGTATTTGAAACTCTTAACCTTACATTTTTTAAGTGCTCTGAGATTCCTAATGTTGGTATTTAATGGTATACATACAATTAATGTGAACGTTTTCGCCCAAAAAGCTTCTAATAAATAAATATATACATTACCTGTCTTATCCCAAAGCTCCCTGTTATATTTGACAGGAATATTTCTGCGTTTCTCAAACTCCAAAGAGTTATCCTGAAAGACAGCAAGCGTGTTGGTTAAGGTTTAGTCAAACAAATGAACGACGAGGTGGTCCTCATTGATGAACAGCTTACCACTGTCAGCTCCTTTCCTGATGCCTTTCTGAATGCTTTGGTCCATCTTGTTTTTCTTGGGTTGCGCTTCTTCTTGAAGTTCTTGTGGCATTTTGATTTGCAGAATCTGAATGTCTGTTTTATTAAAGAGAGAAAAACAATTTAGGGATCACCCAATAAGAAAATGTGTGGATATAAACAAGCACATGAGTTAATGATAGAAAGTGAGACATTATCAGCAGTAACGATATTACATTTGCTGAAAAATTAATGATTGAAATTTCAAGATTGGAAGTGCACTGGCAAAATCAATAGCTGAAATTGGAGAAATGGTTTAGGACGACCTCCAAAAATAACAGGAAAATTATGAATTTACATATACAAACATACATACATATATATAGGGGATATAGTTGATACTTTACGACTTAAAAATACATTTTCAAAACGTTTACTGCTTGTTATTAGCACTTAAACCTACATTTATTGTACATTATTAAATCCTTTATCTAAACAGTCTTTTTGACTTCCGGATTTCTCTGTGTACGAAATCAGATACACTGAAGAAGAACTACATTATACATTTTTATCTTTAAGAACAAAGTTATGAAACATTGCTGTAACTGTACTACTGAGTATATATTCACAAATAACCGGAAGACAAGAGACATACGTAAACTAAACACAAGCGAGTTTAATGACCTATAGCATATTTTCCCTACAAACTAAGATGTTTATAAATACCATTACCGTGGCACAAAAGTCAGGATTGAGGACCATCAAGTGTTTGTATTAATATTTGTTTACAGCCTACAATTCTAAGCTCCTGGTCTCACACTGAAGCATAAGAGGGCGCACTCACTCCATCAGGAAAAGCCGAGGCCCTCCGATTTACACGTCCAGACTCACACAACAACTTCATGTCCATTAGGTTTGTGAAATAAAGTAACGTGTTTTAAAAAGAACTTTACTGTCTATTTCTTCTCTTTTCCGTCGCAAATACGATTTACGACTGTTATTTACCGTTTTCCAGCCCTAACTCCCTGCTTTGGACCCACGTGAATGAATCCAGCACGTTATGTTAGCATGCTAGTATTAGCCGAACACTAACGAGCCACCACTATCAGTCAAAACAGGAGCTTCGGTTAAAATTAACAGCATTGTTCGGGCAAAAACCTGCGCCATACCTTACAGTCGTTCCGTACAAACATCACCCCATGTCCGGGGTACACTGGTCCCGAGCAAAAATAACACTTTTCGATGCGCATTTTCGCATCAGGAGTGCTGCGTGTGGCAGCTGACAAAAACAAGACCGTTCCCTCTTCTTCTGCTTCTTTTTGTTGCCTGACATCCAGCAGTTTGGTGTCTTTACCGCCACCTAAAGACGAGACTTGAAACTGCAGTTATCCTTCAAGAGATCGGAGGTTTTCCCAAGCATCCTAACTAAACTGTGGAAGAAAATATGTAACAAAAATGTAAATAAATAAATAGATTGATAGAATTCCAAAACTAATTTCTGTGTATTAAAAAGTATAAATAAACAATTTCCAGAAACACATTTAACTTAAATCTTTGTACATTTGGTCAAATTTGTCAACACAGCTAGAATTTGGTGGCATTGGATGGAAATGTTTACTAAGAAATGGGTGCCTGTGTGACTGTTTCAAGTGTTTGTACTGTTGTGTTTTAGTATTTCTATTAGTAGTAGTAGTATCCTGAACTTAATACATCTCACAGTCTAATGCACTCTAAAACTAATTTACTACAGATAAAGCTAACACAGAGTGCCTTTGCTTCTTTAGTATTTTCTGTAAATTATACAAGATTGTTTTTCATGAAGTCATGCTGTCAGAGAGATAACCTCCCTTCGGTATACAACGGAGTCCATGGGGAACCAAGTGATTCTTAGGTGACATGGGCATCCCTCCACAATTACGCTTGACAGTTGGCATGAGGTGTTTGCACTGATATGCTGTGTTTGATTTTCTCCAAACATAGCCAGACACCCCGACTATGGTCTTGTGCAAAGAATATTGATGAAGAAGTCTTGCATTTTGTTCAGATGAAACTTTACAAGTTACGTTGCCATGTTCTTCTTTTAAAGAGATGAAGCCTTTTCCTTGCAACTCTTCATAACAAGCCACACGTTCAGTATTTTTCATGAACTTTAACATTTAACATGCTAAGTCCTGCAGAGTCTGCTCTTGTGTCTTTTTGCAGTTTCTCAGAGGATTGCACAGTCTGACTTTGAGGTAAATTTGTTAGAACATTGCACTACTGGGAAGACTGCCAACCATCTTGAACATTTTCCAGTTGTGAATAATTTTCCTCACTGAATAATTATGGACTTATAAATTGTTTGATAATGGCCCTATAACCCTTTCTAAATTGATAGGCAGCAGCAGTTTTTTCTTAAAGTTCATTGTTGATTACTTTGCACTTTGTCATTGTTCATACATACCTGAATACTGCTAAAACCTCTACTTTTGTAGAGGCACAAGATCAAAAATGAAAACCTAAGTGGTCCTAGCAAACCTCATATAAGCTTTTAAAAAAAAAAAAAAAAAGACAAACTGAAACAAGTGCAACACATTATTTTTTCCAAGAATTTTATTATCATCATCATCATCATCATCATCTACTAGTGTGATCATCTTGAGAGTATCAAAAAAAGGCCTTTTGGAACATTTTAACACATATTCTTTGTTGTGTTGCTCTCTTTGGATCAAACATGTAATTTGGTATTTAAAAGCAGAAATATTTCAAAAAACAAAACATAACTTAAATAATAACAAATACATCTACACCCTAAAATCTACACTCTGAACCCGAATGAAGTCTGCAAAATTATCAGTGGCTTACAACGCAATCTTTCATATTAAAGCATTTCACAGAGAAACTTTAAACTGACCGTAATTTGCAAAATGTCACATTAAAATTAGTAAGTTTTTCTTGACATTATTATAAAATGGGTCATCTAAACTATTTAAACATATTACTCAGGTAAAAACATTTTTTGGTGATAAGCACTGTTTTTTGACATCTCAAGCTTAAAACAAAACAAAACAGAAAAACCCTATGTAAAATGCCTTTTCAGCAACCAAACCCACAGATATTATCACATTTAAATGCAAATAATGTATATAATGTAAATGAAAACCAAAGAAAATTACTAAATAATACACATCAATATTCTTTGGTTAGCATTATTTGTTTTAGAAAGGTATCAAAATTTGATTATGTTGCTCTTCACACATAGGGTTTCCATTATGATAGTCAAAATCCTTCATTGTCGCACCTGGACAGGAAACATTGTGGAGAGAGAAAGAAGTCTTTCCCATACGGCAATATTTGTGAACGGTGACAGATGATTCTCTGAAAAATATAAACCTCATCTGTCACTGGGACGCTGGATCTTTGGTCTTGGCATCAACATTTTCGTACCAAGGATCGACTGAATAAAAGAAAAAAGGCTGTACCCATCTGAGGAAGCAGACAACTCTTTGGATAATAGCATCGGCATCACCGCTGCACTCAGCAATGGTCTAGAAGGCAAATGAAACAAGCCCCGGAGACTCCTGCTAAAGCTTTCACCAGAATAAAGCATTAATAAAATTTACAAAAGAGGAAAATCAGCATTCTAAAGGGAAATTTACATCACTGGCACAAGCAAAATTTGGGCAAGTACACCCTTTATGTAAATCTACTAAGTTTTTGGCTGCCTTAGAATATCTTCTGTAGTATCAAAAACTCTTTGGGTATAACTTTTCCCGTCTTTGGATGTCATCATCTAAAGTACGCAAAGCCCTTTGACGTTAAGGCATTATTAAAGCTTGAAGTTCAGTGCACTGGAAATGCCAAACAATACTGTTTGATAAAGCTCTACAAGGTTTGAAAAAAACTGAATTCACTTTTCATCTTCACAACATACAGGATTCAAAGACAAACAGCATGTAACGAAAGCCCTTTCAACCATGAAAACAAAAACTACGCGATAACTTTCGAACACGGTAACAAGACGTGGCAATGAAGTGTTTTCACTTTGTCCCCTGAGTCAGAGATAATACTGCACAATAGGTGGTTAAAAACAAAAGGAGGTAGTAATGTATATAAAGAATAGAACACTGAGGTAGATAATCAGTCTAAAAAGGCTCAACTACATCCTCCGCTCCAGTGGAAAGTAGTTAAATATAATGAAAATGCACCGCAGTACATTTCTGACATTCTCTTTTTTGACATTCATCGTGGGTGAGTTTTGGTTTAGGACAGACCATGCCAAACACAGAAATACAGGTAGGAAGTTGTTTTAAAAAAATGGAAATAAAAATGTTAGGACAAATGTTCATACAAAATCCTGAGGTAAGACCAAAGCAAACGCACACATCTTCCTTTGCAGCAGCAGGATTCCTGGTCCCTCGTTTCCCAGGAGATATCTAAAGGGCTTCCACTCGGGAAGCGGATGAGGTAGAAGTGGCATGACTCTGGCTGTTGGGAGAGCAGATGCAGGCCTGATGATGTTAGCAGCTGGCTGCTTGACAAGTACTGGAGACCACATGAGCCTCTGAGATGCCGCGAAGCAAGGAAGCATCAACCTCTTTTTCCACTTTGAACGACTGCTTCAGCTCCAAGACTGCGATGCTGTCGTCTGGCCCTAAAGATTCAGGCCTAGAGCTTCGGCTGCTCGACGGGCTGCTCATCTCTTCGTTGCTTTCTTCGTTGGAGTAGTGTCCAGAGTCACCTGTCTCTTGGCTGCCCTCACTGGTGTGAGAGCTCTCTGAGCGAAGAGGTCCATAGATGATCTCTCGTGATGAAGGCGGCAAGGGCGCTGAGCCGAGATGCTCCTCGTATCTCAGAACAGTTTTGCCAGCTTCGTACAAGCTGGCTCTGGTTTCGATCTGAAGATGAGGACAAAATTAAATTAAGATTCAAAAAGAAAAATCTATTTGGGGAAAAAGCTGAGTAAGCAAAAACAATGCCACATCACTTACATCGCTGTCAGCTGGATTTCTGATTTCTCTGTTGAAAAGCAGCCACTTCTTGCTGCTGACTGGACCCGTACCATTTATGATGATACTAGATCCACCCTGTAAAATGAGAGAACGTATGGAAACTACATGAGAGTGTTTTCTCAACAGACATGTAATCACGAGAACCCTATTTACTGTTCCGTTTCTCACCTTAGCATCTATGAAGTGATCACTCATCATGGGTATAAGGGCCTCAATATTCTCCGAATGCCGTTCACTGGGAAAACCAGAACGTGGACCTTCAGGAGCTCCTACAGCAATGACTTTATGACTGGAAGATTTTCTATTAGTTAAACAAATGACAATAAATATATAAATATCAGAAAGAATGCTTATGCTTTATTATATGATAATATAATAAAGCATATATTATATATGAAAGTATTTTTCCATCATTTGAAATACAGATAATCAGTACCTTTGTTTCCCCTTACTGATCAGAATCAAAGCACATGTAATTATACAGGTCAAAGCGATGCTCACACCAACGATGATCCCCGTCATAGACCTCTGGTCTATGTGGTAGAGACCATCAGAGAATACTGGAAGATAAATAGAGAACAATTAAAGATCTGCTATATTACAGGATTAACAGGCCCTGCGACAGACTGGCGACCTGTCCAGGGTGTACCCTGCCTCTCGCCCTATGACAGCTGGGATAGGCTCCAGCACCCCCCGCGACCCTGAAAAGGATAAGCGGAAGCGAATGGATGGATGGATGGAACTTAAAATACATCTAAGAGACGGAAAGCAGCCGTACCCATTTATTATTATTCTATTCAAACTCCTGTTAAACAAACCTGCATGTTTGTGGTTCACCGTCAATACTGCATGCAGTACTTGAAGTGAAGTCCACCAGGCATTTATTAGAAAAACACTTATATTCCCCCCTTAAATATCAAAATACACTGGACGGGATGGTATGGGACAGACCTTTGCCCAGACCTCTGTAAACTCTTTCCTGTCGAATTTATGGGATCAGTCACTTGTTTCGAGTCTTACTGAATAAAACATTATGTGCATTTTGGAAGTTCTTTGGAAGTGAGATACATCCCACAGTTTTTGTTTTTGCTTCTGCGATTCATCTCACTCTTTTAGGAGTTTTTGTCAACAAAAGGAACGTCCATTCAATAAAAATGAACTGAAATTAAACCTAAAGACACAATCCTAACACAATTACCACACGGGATTTTCAGTCCATTTCATTTCAGACATAGAAATGCAATGCCTTAGAAACCAAAACCAGATAAAAGCATGTCTGACCTGTACTATCTGGAAACCAGTCAGAGTGTCTGGGATTTTTGCT